TACCTCCCTCGAAATAAGCAACTCGCCGGTCCCAACCGAGTTGCTTAATTCGAGACGATACTGTATAAAACACAAATAAACTAACTTGATTGCCCTAGATAGAAACTATAACTTTAAAACAATAAAAATTGCCTGCAAGTGGTGCGCATTGAGAACAAATAATTGAGTACTAAGCGGTTGAATATTTCCTCCCTTTACTGTCGGCGGTTCTACCTGTCTGAGCTGTAACGAACGCATGATTTCCGTTGCCGTCGTAAGTCGATCGACGAAATCGTCAAGCGTCAGTCGCGATCGATCGGCACACCGATTAGTCGTGAAGAAGCCGCCGCGAGGGAAATCGCTGTAGGAAGAAAACAAAAGCCTTAGCGGAATTTGCCACGAGACTCCCCCGCAGAGACTCGAGCCAGATAAGCTCTTTATCGTTGCGTTTCTTCGCCGAGCTATCAGACAAATGGCATCCAGGTCAGACCTTTACTCTAACGCGGTCCGTACGTACGTAGTTATCTCGCGGCGGCGCGTACCGTCAGTTGTTTAATGTCAGTTGCCCGATTCGCAGATCGGTCGTTCGAAAGACGTGATTCCATGGCGGTTGTATGCGATGCCCATTCAACGTGACGTAGCACGCATCTTCCGAATCGATTCGAACGTTGCGAGACGAGTAACGGAGAGCAAACTCGCCCGTGTGAAAATACAAAAGAGATTCGTGAACGAGAGCTATCGATGATCGTGTCTCGATCGTGTTCAAAGCGTGCCCATGCTCACGTGTTCGTTATTTCCTCTGTACGACGTAGGCTGATCTTAGCTAACCGTTAATTTTTATTTTGATCTATTCGATATATCGATGAGTTTAAATGAATTTGTCGAAACTCTCACCCTGGTGTAACCCTTGAAATAGAGTTAAGAAAAATAACGATTATAGCGAGACTCTACAGTAGGTTCTCCATCCCGAATCCACACAGTGCCTCGAGAAATAGTCGACACGCGAGGAGCGGGTGTTCCTTCTGCTGCAAATGATAGCCAGGGAACGCGAACTATTTTTAAGTGTTTTGGCAATTAGATCTATATTTACGTGATCCGGGGCTTCGTTTGTTGCCGGGAATCGGTTTTGTGCAATCCGGTGCATGGACTACCGAATCGATCGTATGGAAATTCGGACGCGAGTTCGAGAAATAGTCAAACAGTCTCGCGCTTTTAACAAACGTCCTCCAAAACGGATTCCACGCGAAGAAAATGAAAACGCACGCAGCTTCGCGTCCCGAAAGCCGCGCGCGTAATGGATAAATTGTCTCTCTGGATCTCAACAGTGCAGAAATTGCTGCCAATTAGGAACGTCGGTGCCACGTGCTACCTACGCGCTCGCAACCGCGTTAAATTTTCGTCAAATAGGTGAACCGCCGTTTCGCGAGTCCCTCGTGACTTCGATCGACCATCCTTTTGCGCGACCGGACGATTTTTCTTAAGTCTGATTCCCACGGCGCGTTAAGAGTGCGTTCGTCTAAAGTAGCGATGAGAACTCCCTCGGATTTAATCATCTCACCGTCGGTGTTCCTTAACTTGTAGTGAGTAGAAATTACATTTCTCTCGATAATGTCAATTGTAAACGATTAAAAGGGATAATTTTGTTTACTTTTTACTACATAATTTAAATCTTGTGATCATAGGAAACATGTTCGA